AAGAAGACCCTTCAACATTTAACGTAATACCAGTTTGGTGGTGGTGATCTCCTTTAGCATTTTCTTGTCTGTGAAGCTCTTTAACCTTCAATTCTAACTGATAGCACATAATACTGGTTTGGTGGTGTTGAACTCCTTTAACTTTTTGTTGTCTAGGAAGCTCTTTATCTGACCATCAATTCTAACTGATAGCTTTCCTGGTTACAGTAACCTTGGTTGTAGGTCCTTGCTTTTCATCACTTTGAATATTTATTACTACTCCTTTTTGGCCTGCAAAGTTTCCGTTGAGAAAGCAGCTGACAGTCATATGGACACTCCCCTGTAGGTAACTAACTGCTTTTCTTTTGCTGCTTTTAAGACTCTCTCTTTTTCTTTAACCTTTGCCATTTTAATTATGATGTGTCTTGGTCTGGGCCTCTTTGAGTTCCTTTTATTTGGGACTCTATGCTTCCAGGACTTGTCTCTTTCTTTCACCAGGTGGGAGAAGTTTTCTGTCATTATTTCTTCAAATAGGTTTTCAATATCTTGCTCTCTCTCTTCTCCTTCCAGCACCCCCATAATGTGAGTGTTGGTACGCTTGAAGTTGTCCCTGAGGCTCCTCACAGCATCTTCACATTTTTGTATTTTTATTTTTGCTTTTTTCATTGGGTGTTTTTTTCATCCTCATATTCTACATCATTGATTTGATTCTATGAATCCTCTACTGTAGGATCACTGTAAATTCATTTCAGTTATTGTATGCTTAATTTCTTACTGGAACTTTTTCATGTCTTTGACATTCTCACTAAGATCCTTGAAAGTCTCATGACTTTCCTTGAGTAACCTTATAACCATGCTGTTGAACTCTGTATCCAGTAGTTTGCTTGCTTCCATTTCCTTCATTTGTGACATGTGTCTTTGTCTCTGCATTTTGGCTGCTGCCTTGTGTTTATTTCCATGGATTAGGTAGAGCTGCTATGTCTACTGGAATTGGTAGAGTGGCCTTCTGTTGTAGGTGCCCCGTAGGGCCCAGTAGCTCAGCCTCCCCAATCACCAGAGCTGGTCACTCTAGGTGCACCCCTTTGTGGGCCATGTGCAAAGTCTTGTAGTTGAGCCTTGACTGCTATTGGCATCACTAGGAGGAGTTGACTTCCACACCAACTGGCTGCAAGGACCAACTTCTACTGCAGTGGGAAAGCTGCTGTGCAGGAAATATCCCTATGGAGCAGGACTTGCTTCAGTGGGGCTTTGGTGCTGAGTCTGCCTCTTGAGTGTGTTGCTTGTGGATGTGTAGAGTTATAATCTGCTATGGTCTGAAGCTGTCCACTGGGTGCACTGGCTCGGGCTTCCAGGGAGGTGAAAAGTCAGCCACTGCCTAGAGCCACCTGGCAGGAGCTACAGAGGGATCTGCAGACGGCTGCTATTTGCTATTTGTATTGGGCTTGGAGGTACCCAGGCAAGACCCAGCTGTGAAGCAAGGCAGGCTGTTGCTGGTGCCAGGTCTTGGGCCTTTTATTGATAGGCTTGGGGCACAATGTCCCCAGCCGCAGCTTGTTTGAGAGGTTTTAGTAAAGTCTGAAGCCTGAGCCGGGACAGGCCATTTATAGAAAAGCTGCTGCAAACAGCTTGGGTGGGGCTGCAAATGGGATGGGGCGAGGACTCAGGGTGAAGCTCACAGTGTGCTCCAGGCTGATGGAGACTCAGATATGGCTGCCAGTCAGCCCTGCAGATGGGGAGGTCTCAGTGTAGGAACAGTGACCCCCCGCGAGGAAGCTGTCCTCTAGTTCCTACCCAATGCCAGACAGTCCAGTTCCTCCCTGTATGTGTCTGGATCCCTTAAAGCTGCCACCTGGTGCTAGGAGTCCTAATAAGTTCATGCACTGGCCCTTTAAAAGGAACACCTGGATCTCCAGCAGCCTGTGTGTTACTCAACCACAATCCCTGCTGGTTTTTACAGCCATAGTTGGGGGTCTTCTCTTCCCAGCTCTGGGACCCTAGGCTGAGGGTCTATTGTGGGACTGGGACCCCATGCTCCTCACGGGCAGGCTCCACAGACGATCTCCCTCCTGATTTAAAAACAGCACCTGTGGTGTCAGAAAACAGCACCGTGGTGTCAGATAGCCGGCCCGCGCCTCCGCCCTCCTACCAGTCTCAGTGTGCTTTCTTCTTTACTTCTCTAGTTGTAGGACTTCCATTCCACCAGCTTTCAGGGGGTTCTGACTGATGGTTGTTCTGTATTTTAGTGGTAATTTTGATGTGGTTGTGGGAGTACCGACATTTACCTATGCTGCCATCTTGGTTTCTCTCCACATTGCATTTCTCAGCAAACAATATAAACAAGATAGTTTTCCACCTCAGCTTTTGAAGGTGCATTTCTGGAAGATTCTTTCCTGCCTTGGCTGTACCTCAGCCTTCTTGTTGTATTTCTCAGTTCCTGTACAGTTCCTCTAAGTCAGTGGTTCTCAACCTTCTGGCCCTTTAAATACAGTTCCTCATGTTGTGACCCAGCCATAAAATTATTTTCGTTGCTACTTCATAACTGTAATGTTGCTACTGTTATGAATCGTAATGTAAATATCTGATATGGAGGATGGTCTTAGGTGAC